TAACAGTATAAACAGAACAAAATGCCGAATGTAGTTGACGCATTCAATAAAAAAGAAAACAAAATTTTCTGGATTCATTAGCCACAGTAATATTCGGACACGTGAAATAAAAAAATATAAATAAATAAACGGAAAGAAAATTAATACTTTGTAGTATAACCATTGTTGTCAATGACTTGCTGCAATCGCTTTGGCATTGAACCAATAATCTTCTACATGTACTATTGCTAAATTTGTGCCCATTTTTCTTTGATTCTCGCTTGTAGATGGGACATTGACGTAATTGGGATGCTCCTGACTGCATTCCAATTCATGCCATAAATTCTAGAATTGATAGAGCTCAGTAGACTGAGGAGGCGTTTCCAGTACTATTGGACAATTGTACAACAGCCATTCCTTCACTAAATTTTATGAAGATAACGGCCCGAATCACAAATCATATTTAAAAGACCTCCTAATGCCCAGTGTTTCAACAGATTTGTATAAATTCTCTTTCAGTATGTTGAAATACTGATGTTTGTCCATTGTGTCTTTAATAAACACCAGCACCCCCACGTCAGTAGCTGATTGGCAACCCCACACCATTATGTGTCCACCTCCATAATTCACAGTTGACACAATGTTTTTGGGATGCAATTCTGGATTTGGTTTGAGCCATATCATTTTCCTACCGTCACTGCCAAAAACATTTTTCTCATCTACAAAAGTTACCTCACGCCACCACTTTTCTGACTTCATCACATATTCCTTTGCAAACAGAAGACGTTTAGCTCTATTCCCAGCACCGATAAAAGATTTCTTCCTGGCGGCTCTGCCGTGATATCCGGCATTCCTAATTACTCTGCGCACTGTTTCGGGGTGCACAGATGTCCCCGATACTTCGTGTAGTTCCGCTGCCAACTGGACGGCACTCACCTTCAGATTTTCTCGTACTTTCCTCAAAAATGCACTCTGCTCTGTTTCGCGTATCTTCTTACATTGTCCTTGTTGCGGTTTAAATTAAATTCTTTCTTATTTTTCAAATCTCTTAATGATATCGTACACTGTGCTCTTGCTCATGAGTACAAGATTTGCGATCTCCCTGCCGGACCGTATCTTTGCATGGTGGAAAACCACCAGCTACCTCTGCTCGAACGTCGAGTTCTTTGCTTTGCACCCCATTGCAAGATGTGTTTACAGGCGGAAATATTTACAGCGACTGACTGCATAGTTTCGTTTGTACTGGGTAGGGGATGGTGCGCTTATCGCGCTATATAGGAGAGTGGCGAGAGGGGAACAGGACATTTTCAACTTTGTGACCGAATGTTAATGTGACTTCGTATTCTTGCATATTCACACATACATCCGTGATTTCGAATCGTATGTTGTGCATTAGAAACATTTTCTTCGTATTATTCTATTTCCTAATAATAAAGACACAGTTCATTTACGTTTCCTCGTATGTAACTTCCGCGCGCGTGGGAAAAATTAACAATCAAACAAGAAACGCCTTCAGTATTTGTGGCTGTCCGAATATTAATGTGAGCCACTGTTTTACACCATCTACAGAATCTGCAAAACCAGTAACTTGCAGAATCTGAAAATGTATGTGAAATGAAACTAATTACTTGATATTCTAGGTGATTAAATTGCACGGGTGTACCTCTCAGTTCGGTAATAAAGTTAAATAATGTTTCGAAGTGCAGAGATGTGCTTGTCCGATCCTGTATTTTTACATGGGCAACTTTAAGTATCTTTCTCGAGGGTAAAAAGATTTTGTAATATTTTTGTAAGTATTAAGGGAAACGAAAAGCTAACTATCAAGAAAGATTGTATAATGTCTTCAAATGCTGTGTTTACGGAAGTGTAGCAAATTGTTTCAAGAACATGACTTTAATAGTGAATAAACGTTTATTGAAAATTTGTTTCAAACATCGATTTCAATGTTCTTCATTTTAATTTTAAATTCTATAAGTACACTGAAAGTTAGCTTTTTTAAACAAATAAAGACGTTTCGCTAAAAACTTTCCTTATTACTATGAAAAAGGATAGATATGGAAGAGAGTGGAATTTGACATACGAGAGTCTACGCACGTATACGCTAATTTTCTGTATTCGCTGTTTAATTCTATTCAATTCAACAGCAAATTGCAATTGTATCCAATTCCCCAGAATTTTTGAAATAGATATTTATAAACAATTCGATTTATACTCGTATTCTAGTAAATTTAGTATCTAAAATAAGGAAAATAGAATATGTTAATAACATGCAAAATCTCACTATTAAAATACTAAATATAATTCTCGTGTATAGGGCTTAGATGAACCAGAGTTCTAGGGTTCGAGTCCCAGCGGAGGCAGGGATTGCCGACAGTAGCTAGATAGCTAGGTCGAGTTCAGCCGCTGTCTGGAGGAGGATTTTAGCGGCCCGCTGCTCCAATCAGTAGTTTTCCGTGGTTACTACAACCAACATCAGACAAACGCAGGAGCAGTGCTTTAAAAATGGGCTATGGATTAAGTGTGAGCTTTCCTTCATCTTCCTTGTCCTACATTCAACGCTTACTTCCACAGTTATACGGACTGCACTCCCACACACATCGGAAGCCCAGGCGGAAGCTCAGTGCGTGTCCCGGCTGGCTCGGTGCCCCGCTGGTGGGCGTTGGGGAAAACGCCGCGAGCCATATGTAGGTCGTCGCCGGATCTCGCCTCCAACGGGGAAAGATCACAGTCTCCTCACGCGCCAAAATCATGCACTACACGAACGGGTCTAACGACTTTAACAGCCGACGCGCCCGGAATCACTAATCAAACGATCCAGGGTAAACATATGTATGGAAATACATGTTTGTATGTAATTGTAAACATGCAAAAGAATATTCATGTGTTATTGATACACATAACGATGTATGGTACCGTAATGTAATACAAAAGCAATGTGACTCTTTATATTGTTTTTAAAAATAAATACTATTACATTTTCAATATTATTCTATGCATATTTAAGTTGGCGTAATTTAGCGTAATTACAGTAACAACTCTGAAATTGAATTTCACACATTTACTTTAATAATATAAATGGAACACATTTCAATACAATGATTACATATGAACAATAACTAATTTTCATGAATGGTTTGTCTCTCCAAGATTTCTTAAAAAGTTATTGTTTCTTACATTTCATGTTAAGTGGCATCAGAAATTTAGAGTCTGTCATTAGTGCGTGATCATGACGACTGACTATGTACTTTCCCATCCCGATTATTGCACTGCGCCAGGAGAATTCAATTTGTCTGAGACCTCTTCCTTCTTCCTTACGTGACACATAAAATCAATGTACATCAGCTCAAGGATGGGCAACATGATGCAGTGTAAACACTTTCCTCTTTTTTCAATCCATGACTCAAATTTCTTGCTCAATCTTGCCCACGAGCTCGAAACTGTACTCGGCTTCAGGCACCGCCAAAATACCAATTGCAAATATTTTTTTCCAGGAGTTAAGAGCGGCCTGCAGGACAAGACTCACCCTACCGTAAACCTCCCTGCGAATTCTCTCTTTCAGTGTATGGTTTGAGACGTTCTTACATTTTTCAATGCCCATATAATTGTAATTTGTACCTAGCTCAAGATCTTGAATTATAGTGTGCAAATCAACATCAATGCTCTCTGACGTTGTCATTTTACCTCTTTTTAAATTGACTTTAGCACATTTCTCAACACCAAATTTTATGCAGATATCATTACTAAAACCATTGAGAGACAGCATTTGGGAGACAATCGCTTCGTTCTCCGCTTTAAGCATACTTTAAATCATCGATGAAACACAAATGCGATACTTGTCGTTCACCGCTATAAACAAATTATTATTATTATTATTATTATTATTATTATTATTATTATTATTATTATTATCAAAGCAGAATAAAATGGTGTGTTGATATAAAATAAACCGTGAGTACTTAAATTAATGAAAGGAATAAAAGAGATGGTTGCTTTGCGGCACTACACTATAATTTGTGGGACTCTGACATGACTATATTTTTGTTATATGTGTAATTGTCATATAAAACTAATGATTATATGGAAAGAACGCACTACAAACATTTCTAACATCCCTCTCAAATACTTCTCAGTGAAATATTTCATATGTTGTATGCAGCAATATTGTCATATGATGCTCACCAGGATAAAAATGAAATTTATTCACTCTATAAAAGAATCCAAAGCTGTAGTAAGATTAGTTTTAAGTATACAAACATCAACAAGGGTGTTTGTAATATTTCATCAGTTAATCTTACACACGACAAAATGTGCACAATTTTCAAATTAACAATTGATAACCTGCGTCTTTGGTAATTGAAGATAATAATGATAAATGTTGCAGAATAAAACTACATTCAGAGTATTGTGAAGAGATTTTGCTGAAGCGATTTCTATTCTGTAACATTTTCTATATTATTCTTTCAACGTGGAATACACATTACAAAACCTGACACAATCAATATACTCATATAAGAACGTTTTGGTCCATTAAATGCTGAGCATAAAATTAAAATTTAAATGTAATGACATATGAAATCCATTAGGAGAAAATAAATTAAAAAATATTTTAAAACGATAAATAATTATATAATCTACTGAGAATACAAAGGATTGACGTAAGATTTAAAGAAAATAATGGAGGAAAAAGAAACAAATAGGAAAGAAAAAATAATAACAACACTAAATTAGAAGTAGCCGATCATGATAGCCAAGGCAGTAGTACCGTCGCGATCTTGGTCCGAAGGATCGCGGGTTCGAGAGTGTTTGTGATTGTCCATTTCATCATTATCATTTAACCTCTTCCCCCAGGGCTAATAACTCTCGGAGTAAAAACGGATTAGCCATGAAAATGCTGATGCCACGTGCAACTATCCTCGATAAATATAACTAAGCCCCGGTGGGTTGGCCGTTCGCGTGATTCCAAGATTGCCAATTCGCGACCAAAAACAACAAACAAACAACAACTAAAGTAGAAGTCTCACCTGTAGGACACAGCCTTGAAAGTTTTCCCGGAACACAAGCTGCTGTTGGTACAGGGGGTCGAGTGTGCGTCGTGCTGTCGCAGTTTTTGCTTTCGCGATGCACTTCTTGCCATTCACCAGGTACACCTTCACGTACGGCGCTGCAGACAACACACAAGGAACACGCTCAGTCACCTGCGCATACTTTCAAGTATCATTTACCGCTTTATCTTTTTAAACAAGACACTTCATGTTGAATTAGCTTTCATCAAAAATTGTGTCATATCACGAACATATATTACTAGCCTATTCAATCAATTTGGCCACAGGGGTTTCATCGACAGACAGTTTATACATAAAATCACATCATAAAAAGTTTATTAAGATTCCTAAACGTCGCTCTGCAAATATAAATATACTTTTTATGATGTAATTGCTCTGCAAATCTTAAACCTTTTATGATGTGATTATGCGTATAAACAGTATGTCGATGAAATCCCTATGGCAATTTCTTCAACGTCAATAATTTCGACGTCATCATTTTTGATTTGTGTCATATTTCTTGAGGTATCAACTCCATCTCTGATTAACAAGACATTTTAAACTAAAGAATTGGTTAGTTTTTAAGAACAACCACACGGCAGCAACACAAAACACAAAATTACTTGCGTTCTGATCTTAACGCCAGTCAAATGCTCCCTCCAATAACTACCATTGTGCTAGTCAATTAGGATCGAAGTGAAAGTACGATTCAATTTATTTTAAATAATAAGCCCTGTAAAAAATTACGACTAATAAAATAAATTAAAACTGACAAGCATAATATAATATTAAATGCAATGTCAATGTACACTACCAAAGGAAACATTTACTAGAACAATTCTCAATGATTGATTAGTGTCAATACTTGGTTTGTAAACGTCTCTGTGATTGGTCAAGACACTGCATCACAATGAAATGCGTATTGTAATGAGTATCATTATGCAACTGGTTACAGCCATCAAATGTCAGAATTAGACAATGGGAGTAGAAAATATCTTTTATAACAGTCTTCGGTTGATTGGTTGGTTGGTTGTTAGTGATCCCGCGCGCGTCAACTAAGAGCATTAGTCCCATACGTGTAGTGCATTTTTTTTCCTCGGTCGGTAGCTATGTTCCTACCCCGCTGGATGGCGCCAACTAGCAGGGGTTCCCCCAACCAGGTATCTCTCACCAGCGAGGCACCGCCTCAGATAGGACAAGCTGTAACCTCCCGACCGGTCTCCCGGCATTTGTGGTAGTGTAGTGCATGATATTGCATGTGCGTGTAAGGGGTGAGGATAAGACGAGGAAGGAGGGCGCGCCGTCCACGAACCACGAAACCACGAAAAACTTCCGATCAGAGCAACCACTTGCTAAAGTTCTCCTCCAGACAGCGACTGAATTCGACCTAGTTGACAAGCTAGTGTCGAAAACCTTGCCATTGTCGGGACTCGAACCTAGGACCTCCCGGTCAGAGGCACTGCAGTGACATTAGATGATGCACCGGGTTAGTTTTCCCGGTAAAAGTCTTCGGGAATACAGTAATCGCGTAGTATATTACACTTGTATACATAGTACACCCGACTGATATAATAAAAATAAAAAAAAAAGTTAAAAACTGTGATACTATGGGGAGAAGTCTGTGGCATAAGTGAAACTTACCTTAGGGGGTATGTAATTATTTGCCCCTGGTTAGTAGGCAACCCATCATGCGGTGGAGTTTCGCATGCCATATTCGGTTTTTAACTTTGATTTGATATGTTTTGCCAAAGAAAATTAAAAACTGTACATGACGTAAGGACCCGCATTAAGAGTTTTTCTGCCGAAAATCGCAGTTTCCGGTGCACAATAACATAACTTCCTCTTCTTATGAAGCAAGCGCACGAAAGTAAGAACAACCTAGCTTCAATATTAAATGTGTATTTGAACCAGTTTTTTAAATTGTCTAATTTACGCGAAAACTACTCTTATTTTTAAAACCATCTTAGACATTTAAAAATTTACAATAGAGAAAGATATCTCTAAAAAAATCGATTTCCACAAATCTACTTGATTGAGGAGCTACCAAACTTTTTCAACTTTTGCAGTTTGCAATAAAGCGAACAATTCCTTGAAAATCAGATCTGTCTATTTTTATACTTTACTTTATATTATGCGAGTTGTTTAAGGTTGACACTGTTTCTCGCTTCTCAACGTTAAATATTTTCGGTTTACAGTCTCTTTCTCGTAGCCCTGTTGCCTCCACATCACATTCTACATTTTTCTTCCGGCTTCTGAGTGGCCTGCTACGCTTCTTTCTTATTGCAGGCGTTCAAAACTACACTTTCTTTGGCCATCTTATGTCCATCCATTGGAGACGCCCGTACCAATTCAATCGCTTTGGCTTCAACCTAAGATGGTTCTTTTTTTAAATTTATTTATTTATGGTCGCTTTATAACATCGAGGTCATCGGCGATCCCTGTCATTGTACAATTGTATGTATTAACATAAAAGTTGAACAAAAACAAAATTGATGAACAAAATTGTTAAATTTAATCACATTTTACACAATATGTATGGTTTAATCTATTACATTAAGCAGCTATATAAGATCATACAGTTTTGTAGTTGCTACTTTTCTTATTTTGGCACACCTGTCAGTGGAACTGAGTAGTGGTTGTAGGGTTTCTTTAATTTTTTAGAATTTTTTAATATTATTTGTAGCAGGGCATTCAAGAATAAGACGGGAGGTGGAGACTGCTGTACCACTCTTTGGACAGGGTTCTGAATCTGATCTCTTAAAAAGATGGCAGAAGCGGCCTATTCTTAGATTAGTGATTACAACCTGTTCTCTCCAAGGAGGGCTCTTTCTACATCCATTCTTCCTGGGATGTCTTCGTTTCGTATTGAAACATGGTAGCTCCTTCTCCAAAAGTCGTTTTCAAGGGACATCAACCGGGCTCTATCTCCCTTTCTTAATTCCTACGTTTCTGTTCTGTAAGTACATATGCTCTTTACTATTGTTTACTAGATCACCCCTTTTCCTTGTTCTATTTTTATTAGAGATATCGTCTGAACTTCCACCATTTAAGGAAATAGTTACTCCAAGGAATATCACTTGCACTGTCTGACCTCAGTTACTATGTCCAAGTCCCCATATCCTTCATCACCTTCTACCATACATTCCGTCTTTTGAATGTTAATTGTAATACACCAGTTTTCGTACTATTCTGAATCTTACGAAACATACAGCTTATGTCATCTTCATCACCAGCTACATCTACATGATCATGGACAAAGTGTAATGTGTTGGTAGTGCATTGCCGTTTACAGGTAGTCCCATCCCATTACACTTCCTTTTACTCATTTTGCTAGATTCCTCAAGATATATTTTAAATAGAAAGGAGGCTAGAGAACATCCTTGTGTTAGGCCTTTGTTTACGAGGAATTCCTGAAAACTCCTTTTCCCGATTCTGACTGAGCTGTTATTTCCGGCAACCAATACTAACAGCATCGATGTAGGCTTTAGAGATACAAATTTTCTTCATGGCTGAACATAACTTATTTAATGGCACGGTATTGTATACCTTCTGTAAATCCACCAATACCATACGGATAACTCTACTTCACTCAGCCTGTTTGTCTATTAATTTTTTAATGTAAAGAAACGGACAATTCATGGCCTCCCTGTCCTCAAGCGATTCTGTTCCTCATATTCTGTGAATTGGTCTTTAATTCTTGGTAACAGTCTTGGTATTCCCGACATTACGCTTATACTCCAATAGTGAATCTTATGTTAGGTCCCCCTCTAAAATCACAATATTTTTTTCAAATTCAATAGGCCGCGACATTAGCCGGATCGACCTGTGAAGATCAATTTTAGTGAAAATCTCGCATACGGTCTAGCCTCTAGCGTTGTTCTCGTACAGATAGACGCTTTGCCATAAACCAATTTTTCGGTATCAAGGACCCACAAAATGCGTATTCTGACTACACAATGTTCTATAAGCTACATTAAATAGCATACGCTTCCCACTTAGATTCGTGGTAACTGGGTAATTCCTAGGCATTTTAAGATCCAATGTGTTCCCTACACTCGCCACAGGATATTAAAGATTTTTTCCTCCATTTGCTATCAGCAATGCTAAATTGCTCCATCGTAATTTACAAATTCTGTGCAAAGTTTAATAGAGCTTCTGAGAGCAATTAACGAGATAGTAGATCGCCTCGAGACGTGATCCCCAGGGTCTTGAGGGCACTGACTGTAAATCTTGGCATAGCTCCAGAGCTTCCAACCACCAACGGCAGGATTCTTCCTTGGGTACTTTGAAGTTGGGCTGCCAGGGGGGTGACTGGTTGGTATTTTACCACCTTTCCCTCCCTTGATTTCAGAAGGCTAGACCCATCCTCGTGACGGAAAGTCACATCGACCACATCAACCCCTTCCCGGTTTATTATTACCAGCTCAGGTATTAGTCTAACCCCTTCGACAACGGAGAAAGTGGCTTCCGTGGACACCACCGTGTCCGATTTCCGGAGCATCTTCCCTTCTATGAAGATTTTGATCTCGTCATGACTCTTTATTCTTGCTGGCTTCGTAAAAATGCACTGACCGAGAATATGATTCATAGCTTCTACCGCTGTATTGCACTTCCTGCAGTAAGCATCATCTCTGGGCCTTCCTCTATTAAGAGTAGTTTTATTGGCAGCGGTATTTGATCTCAATTGGAGTGCAGTAATAAAAAGACCAGGTTTCAGAAGATGATAATCTTTCAACAAGGCATTTCCAATCGGATCGTTTATATGCACCCTAACCGCACTCCCTTGGGATCCCAGCTTCTCCCAGGCGGGTACCTCGTCATCGGCGCATTTCTTCTTATAAGCCTTTCAATCTTGTTCAGAACAGGCCAGTTGAGTCTCAGTGTTTTTGCAATCTTTGATGTCCGCTGGTAGAAACTCGGGCAGGAGCTCAACCATCTGCAAATAGGGTCTGCAGATTTTTCTAATTGTAATACTAGGTTCAGCGCTACTCTAGGAACGTGTGGGGCTATCCACAGCAATACCAGTTCTCCACCCTTTGAGCCAGGTAGAATGCAGTACTCATATACAGATGTAGGAACTGTTTGACTGCCACTCTGATTTGACCATCAGCTTTCTTGAGCATCGGTATAGATGGCATGGATAGAACCAATTGATAAAGGTAACGTGGCATTATGAAGGTATGAAGTAACGCCAACTTCTGAGTGGGCTTTAAATGCGCTTTTTGAAGTCTCCATACTGCTTCCATCAAATTCGATATGGATAGTTTAGATTAGATAGGAAGCCGTTCCAGATAGAGTAGTTCACTCACAAGTATGTTACTATATGATCATTACTGACCACATGAATTCTCTCCCCAACCTTTCCAGATAGGGTGACTCAATGAACCAGGATTGTCCATTTCGCGAGGGTCAATATCATTCCGAGGGCCCCAAGATATTCCACCACTATATCAACCAATTCTTGAGCTCCTGGGGCATCTTTTGCTGACAGCACAATATTGTCAGCAAATGATAAAAATGACCCACTCCTTTCCAATAGCGTGTATCCTGACATGTTTTCCAATTTCTAAAACAGGAACTCCATGATGAGATTAAAAAGGAGTGGGGTGACGGGATCCCCCTGTTTTACTCCTCTACGAATGGGCACCTCAATTCCTTTCGCGGGGAGCTGAATGACGGTGGAAACATCGGCGTAAGAGTCCATTACCAAATTGGTAAAGGCGTCAGGGATTCCTTTCCTTGACAGAGCCCACCGAATCACCGCGTGAGGAATAGTGTCAAATGCTTTGGATATATCTAGCACAGCACCTACACCACCTTCTGCTTTTTTCATGTCACAGACTGCTTCGTGAAGAATCTGAGTATTAGAAAAACAGCCAGATTCAGGGATAAGCCCTTTCTGGTGGGGATTGAACTTCACCACGGATCGAAAGCGTTTGTCCATAATGCCCCCAAAAAATTCTGCACAGCAGAGCAATTGTGATGGGGCGATAGATAGCGAAACCATATCATCCTTACCCTCGTTTGGTATAAGGATGGTGCGATTAGCTTTCCACCCAGAAGGCACAAAGCCACTGTATAAAATTTGGATGTACAAGAGGGGCAATATTTCAATTTTATTTTTCATATTTCAATATGTGGCTAACTTTTGTCTTATCTGGTTCTGGAGCCGTGGCATTTTTCATCCCAGCCAGACAACTTTTAATTTCGACAACTTGCACCGCGTATAGAATTGTGTCGGTGTCTATGTCAGGTGTCAACAATTTATCACCCTCTCTTAATTCGGAAAGCCGGATCGGGGGCGAGTTACTCCAGATGGATATGTACAGGTCATTAACCTCATCCCTGTTAAAGGTCTGTTTATAATAAGTAAGTAAATTTCAAGGTCAAGATTATGTGCAAATGTATAATATTGTACAACAATGTATACAATTATTTCATAAACACTAAACTAAATGTATAGAACTGCAATCATTTTCAAAGTACTATGTATAAGTGTTATAACTAAAGTCATAACTGACTTAAAAACGGGAAAAGGGTAAGTTTCCATTTTTTAAACTAGAGCTCAGCAATCGAAAAGCGAATCCAAAAAATGACGTAACAACTGGAGTTTTGAGACTTTTTTGAGCCATTTTTCTAAGACATTCTTTTTTTTCAAAAATATTTTTTGCGTTCTAATTTGGCGCCCAGAATATATCAAACATGTTTTTCTTGATAGTACAAATTATTTTCTGATTTTCCATGTTTTTTATTTCGATAACATAAAGTTACGTTGACGAAAAAAATTTAAAACCACATTTTTGGCTATAGAGGGGTCGGCAACGGGGCGACGGCGGTGTGATGGGGATAAGAAACCTTTCAAAAATCATACTTTTATATTAGTTATAGTTTAACTCACGGTGAAAAGCACTTTTCGCCATGGTTTAACTACTCATATGGCATTTGGTTTTAGGGAACTTTTTCTCCATCTTATCTGGGGATACCCTTTGAGATAATAAATACGATTACATTTCGCTCGCGGGAATTTGTTGTATGTGCGTACAAAAACACATTAGTTCAGTTATGTTGATTAAATCAATCCATGGAATTGTGGCTCAGGACGAGCAAACATGGCGTCCATTCTTAGAAAGTAAAGAATATCCGATGGGACTCACCTGGCAACATCTTGGAACCCTGTCGCGCCTGCAGGCCTCTGGCGCGGATGACCTCCACCTCGAGGTACCCCTTCTGGTAGCACATGGACAGCTGGATGTCCCCAAGCGCCGGCGCACCCAGCACCTGTCGCCCCACCAGCTGGCCGGGCCCCAGCCCGTCGATGAAGTCGGACAGTTGGCCACTCTCCTGCGCCAGGCGCAGCGACGGCGACCACCTGCGCGAGGGCGGCCCCGGTCAGCGCCACGCCAACCCCCGCGCCCTCGCCCTCGCCCACGCCCACCACGCTGCGGTTCCCTCGGCACACGCCTCCAACCCCCAGCCCTACTTGTTTCCATCTGTGCACATGTGCAAGTGGGTGTATGGACATGTGACATGTAAACACATATACACACGCATTTATAAATGTCATCTATATGCGTTAATTAAGAAAGCATAGTTATTGAATTTTTTTTATTTGTAAATGTATATAGTTTATATTTCTGTATTCTGCAACCAAAAAAATTTAAGTCCAATTACAGAATAAAGTTTCCATCTATCTAACCCTTTTCTCGGCTCCCTCAGATGGACTACGTTCACCAACGGTATTAGAAAACTTTCGCAAAAAGGAATAACCAGCTCAAATCATACACATGTCATTGAGATAAAACAAGAATTTTATCTAAAAATAAAAGAGGTACTACTGGACACTAGTACAAGAATTTACCTCTAAGGAAAACAGCTCGCTTGAGAAAATTTGTGTTTATGTGAAGTGTGAATTCCCTCCCCTCTCACACCTAGCTATTAGCTGTGTACAGACTTGTGACTGCACACTGCTACTGTACCATGCTGACATCTTAAAAAATGATTTTATACTTTTTTCACATTGAAATCCATTTCAATTAAAGTATGCAATTCTACTTGCATTTTAAAAAGCATTACATGTCAAAACACAAATATTTTCAAAATTGACAAAAAGAAATGACTTTTTTCAAATTAATTTTTTTAACATTTTTGAAAATTCTGGGAGAAAAAAAGAAGTATTGGATCAATATTTTAACAATACTTTATCTAATTTTTGCAACTGGAAACATTCAATTATTTTGATGTTTGCATGTAAAGCAGATTAGTTAAATAGTTTTGCCTCCTCCACAAAAGCTTGTTTTGCACTCTAGTTGAGATGAACCATCATTTTGCTAATATAGATTCTTTCCCTTTCCATCAAATATCCCATGAAGTTATAGCAATTTTTGATGAAAATAAATGAATAAATAAAATATTCTGTAAATTTGAAGAATTTAATTTCGAAACATTTCCAATTGTCATGTGTTAAAACCATAAACTGACCTCAAAATATTAGGCAGTAATACTTTTTGAAGAGAGGAGCTTCAAGACCCCAAGACCTACCCTCCATATTCAACATACTTTTAGTTTTAGAATTCTATATCCTCACATATTATTTAAATATCAGTTCATATACCTAGTAAATAGAGAATTAGAATTTTGAAGCTAATGAGCTGATTTGTTAAAATGTTGGATAATAGAATAATTATTCAATTTTTAAGAGAGAATGATTAATTTAATTTTCAACAATAAAAACTATAAGATAACTATAATTGTTTCATAAAAGTCAAATTATCATATAGGGCTGTGTAACACTAAATTATATACCTCTAAAGAGGGTACCTCCCCAGGTTTCAAGGCAGAGTTGAGCTGCATAACTTAGGGCAAGGGGGGAATGTTAGTTTGGTGTAAAGTAATGTTGATTTAATTTTTTAAAATTTTCAACACTTACTGAAATAATTATTTTTACTTGGTCTTATAGCAAAACATTAAAATATTAACAAATTAAATTAAAAAATATAAATAAATTCAAAAATTATGATGACTGTTACAATAAATTTAAAAAACGTATCTAAAAATCTGTCTGAATTGATTTAATCTGTTAGATAACAAAGAAAATACACAAAACTGATCTAAAAGAATCTTATTGAATTGGCACAGTAGACTTGCTCATGCATCATCCATGATGGCATGTGCATGGTTATCAAAACTTTTCTTGCCTAAATATCCTTCCTTCACTCAAAAATTGTCCGCAATCTAGTTAGGTGTAGTCAGCATTGACAACTAATTCTGATTTTAATTATCATAAATTTTATTATAAACAAAGAAAATGAATAGTTTTTTTATCATTGAATAATTTATTTTTACTTATAAATAGGGTGGGGTGTTATCACAAGAATAAATGTAGATAATAGGGGGCTGGAAGTATCTGTTATAAAGGGGAGAGGGGATATTTAAAATGTCTGCATTGTGTAATTTATGGATGGCACTTTTATTTTTTTTATGATTACTAGTTTTAATTATTTTTGTCTGTCTTCATGTTTTAGATAAATTCTTTCAGAAAACAAAATGAGTTTGTCTTTTCCTAATTGGTTATTAATAGCTTTTACAGTTTTATTTCTATTGTAAAATCAATTCAAATTCTTATAATTTTGAATAAAATATAAGAATTCAGGAAGAAAATAATTCTCAGTTAAACTTACTTCTTATTTGAGAATGGAATATTTATATTTATAAAAATAATGAATTACAAAGTGTATTTGTAAAATGAATGTCAAGGTATTTATAATTTTTAGATGAATAGTTGGAGTACAGTGTGCTAAGGAAACCACAGCTCCACAATAGTGCACAGCTAATTTTGTACACTAATTCAATCATGCAGAAAAGCAAACCACGAATGAATGACACCAAAAAACAACAATATATTACGTACTTTAAAAGTTATTAAAAGGGATATCTACATTTCTAAGCCTTTTTAAGTGATTATCAGTTTTGATACAACAATATTCTAAAAAGTATATCTCAAATTTCAAGTAGACAACTAAATTTTGCAAAAAGAGTGTTTGATAAGTTCCAGTTTGTACTAATTTGGCAATATTTCACAAAACTCAGAAATTATTAATATTTTACCAGCAAAACTACAGAGAAATTCATGAAGGGACCCAAGTATACATTTCCATGTAAAGGAAACATCAAAACACACGAGGGTTGTACATTTACTGCTTTTAATTTAACACAATAATATTTTTCTTTCACTTTCAGATTCAGTTCACATTCAGTAACAAACAGTATTTAACAGTTAATAACAATCAATATTTTATTTCAGATTCAGTAACAAACAGAAAAAGCAGATGAAATATGTAAGCAAATTTCACATTAATTCTAATATTAAAAGAAACAACTCTATACACAAAAGGCACATCTTTGATTGACATCAAAACATTATTCTAGATTTTGGAATAGGATATGTTTTTAAAAGTTGATTACTGCATACTTTCAAGGTGCGTAAATTAAGTGCACACATTTAATTCTTCTTTTCTAGGAGTATTGCTGGTAATATTTTTCAGTGTCCAACATGTTTTATTTTTACAAATGAACTCTGGAAAATATAGTATCAAATTCTGTAGTACATTCTGCAACTTGCCATAGTTACCTCAGTACTCCTTGAACTTGTAAAGAACTACAAGTGAACATTTTTGATAGGAAGATCCAACTACAAGATTATAAAAATAGTTACTTGAAATCTTTTTAGGCAAACTCTTCCAGATTTTACTGCAAGTAACGAAAGAGTAGGAAACTACTACAGAGCAGGAGTATACTAACTTAATGTAAAACATGAAAAAACACATTGCATGGAAGGGACTAGCTATGTCGTTAATTTCAACATTCATATATTTTTAGAAAATAAAAGCTTTATTTTCTCACGTTTTAAGTACAAAGGCAGTTGAAACCAACTTTATTGCATTAAACAGGAATCATCAAAGATCTCTTAACCTCACAGCTAGTCACTTCAATACCAACAAAAAATTAATGGGTGAAAGTATCGCATGAAGAGGAGAATACAGAGACAATGGTCGTAGTGTGAGACTGGGCTGCACTCTCCGATGAGCAGTAAGCTCCCTCAGAGACCTCATACTCTGTCCCTCAAAGAGAAATGTTGCTCAACTGCTGAGACACAAGAAGAAGAAAGAAGAAAAAAAAAGAAAGAAAAAAATGAAAAGAAAGAGACTGCAACAGGAAACTGAAAGTAAGAGTATGTGATGTTACAGATCTAACACAGAAAATTTAAGTTTTTGAAAAATTGTCAGAGGTCAAGCAATGGAGAAAATGGGTGCATATTAATATTTAAACATTCCATTAGTAGTTTATATGTAAACTTAATTCAAGCGTATTTAAATGTGAATTATCTCATAGGAAGATAACTAAATGAAACCAAAGCAATGTTTTGCAGACTCACGATTTGCAATGGATACTGACAGAGCACCTTGAATTTGAATGAAAACAGTCAAACATCCTATGTGACAAACTAAAACTGCCCCAGAACAGGTTAACAAATATAATATTAGAATGAAACCAATGTAAACAATATATTTACATAGAATAACGTTTGGAACTTACCATTTATTGAATTCCTACTTCAACACATTTTGTGTATTTCTTTCAGATATCAAAGATTATTACCTGCATTGTAAGTCTGCAAGCAATATAAATAATTACCCTAAAAAGTAGTAGTAATGAGATTTTATCCTTATTAGTTTCATAAAGCCAAATTTAATCTTATAAGATAACACCATCATTTATTGATCATTACAATAGCTCAGATAAAATTGTAGTGACAATAAATTGTCTGTGATTTGGAATGATAGATTACAGTGCAGTGAAATTTATTTTCAGAGCTATAGCATACAACTACTTAACAGCCAGTGAGTTGCAATCAGCACTACAGACATGGTGCAATATCTTCCACCTTTGTCTGCAAGGAAGAATCTTGCTTAACACTTCATTACACATATGAGAACAATATACCTTAGGTACCTGGAAAAAACTGATATTAAATCAAAATATTTTAAAGAAAAGAGCTATTAGAAGTCTCTCTATCACCATTTGTGTTCTAGAAAGACTATTTAAATATCATAATGGCAGCTTCCTGCAAACCGTAAGTCTTTTGTAGGTGAAAGACGAGAAAAGATAGCATTTACCCTTTCCACAAATTAAAAACCATGTATATTTTGGAAAAAATTTTGATTAAAATAGACAATTAAAAATTTTATAATCACGGAAAGCGGTATTCTTAAATAAATCAGTTTGAAACTTTCTTTAGGATTTACATTTAAACCAAATGTTTCATAAATTCAAGTTACTTTGGAAGTTGGGTATACAAAATAATGCAACATTAGAGAAGAAAGAAACTGAAAATGACTAATAGTGTCAATGTTACTGTGAAGAGGACAGAATTGCAAGAAGATCACAGAAAATATTTCTGAAACATAAAGTGAACACAACACAGTACATAACTAAGACAGCACTACAGTGTACTCAGCAAGATTAAAAGCATGTCAGTCCATGCAAGCATCATGCAAAAAAGCACAATACGTTCTATAGGAAGACATATGGCAGAAAACACTGCAGCATATGTTATATCAAGCAAGAAGGAATGGATGAGGGAATTCATGGTAACAAGAGGTGGCTTGTGCTAAATATTTCAATTGCAATTTTGGAATGTCTATTGTAATATCAGCTGCTAAAGCTGCTGAAGACTTCATGACATCTCTAGAATCTGTAACCATTTGCATTGTATTGAAAGATTTGTGTTTTGAAAAGGAGAAAATAAAATAAACCACAGAGACAATCATTATTTACAATACTTTACAACACTTAAGGAGGTTTTGCTGAAAGCATTGTGAACTCCTTGAGTGTTTTAGACTCTACATCTTATTCTGCAGATGGCAAGAGTAGTCTTCATACAGTTCACAAAGCAGAGGGGAGGGGAGGGGATAAATGGAATGATCCACGCTCCTTCCCATTAAAAAAGACATATTCAGAAAGTCAATTGGGAGATGTGACTTTCTCGTGCCTTTGACAACAGTTGCTCCCCAGTCTGCCTCCTTACTTACGTGGATCCTTCTGAACTAGAAACACTGTTGAGGCTGCCCTCAGTGGAGAGTTTAGAGGGTGGGCGGTAGGGAAGGTGTTGGTGACGTGGTGGACCCACTTCTTGAGAGCGCTGGATGCCACAGCTAGAGGAGGAGCTACCTTTTCTAGAGCCACCTTCTGCGGTCCAAATAACACAACAGTCGAGTCACAAGATGGGCCATCGACTGGGCAGCACAAGGAAAGGCCAAAGAATAGGATCCAAGGTTTGATGACATGTTCACTGCTGACTCACATCATTTCCTTTTCCAATTCTTCAAGTGTTTGATTATTGTAACCATTCAAGTAACAGTAAACATAAAACATTGGCCAAAAATAATGGAAAATTGAACTAAGAGAATCTTAATAAGCAATGAACATGTCTGAGAGCAGACATATTTCTGCTAAAAAAATTATAATAGAATGGATATGTGGGGCAACGCTTTACAATATTAAATGAAGCAGCTACAAAGAGAGACGTAGAAGTGAGCTACCTTGCGTTTCTCGCTAAGTGTTGCTGTAGTAGTAGGTTGCATCTGCAGTTCAAACAGAGTTTGTTAAATCAACATGGTAGTAGCAGCTGGGATTTGCCTTCCAGGGATCTCTGTAGTGCAGGGACTTATTACAAATTCTTTTGTCTGGTTTTTGTTACATACACATACATGGTTTACTGTACCAAGCAGCTACAATGGATGGAGCATTGTTATCATATACCACCTCTTCTGCAGACAAAATTAGCAAGTTAGCTTGTCTGGCTGGACCAAGGGATGAAATATTATCAGATTTTTCTTTCATGCAACATTACTTTGATTTCAATTAAATTATTCAGACAACATTATTTTGAGTTCCAATAAAAAAGATATTTGATTAATAGAAAGAGGAAATTTACAAGCCAGATACTTATACCTTCATGATGACAGAAAATCTGATAATCTTTGGAGGAAAAAATAGTCTCTGGAAAGTGCTGTGTGTAAAAAGCGATATGTTAGGATATTGTGAATAATTAGGAGATCAGTTGGATAAAAGAATCAGAAACTGGAGTGGTGGGAAAAAGGGGGCTGTGGAAGCAGCAGCATGTCGGACAGAAGAGACGGACGTCAAGAGGGGAACCTTCCAAGAGGCAGACTCTCCCAACCAGGAGAGAGGGCTCAAGGTCCCATGCGAGCACAGTGAAGCTGAGCAAAGGAATCATGCCCTCCATCTATGAGGCTGACTCACAAGACCCACAGGTGCTGAGGAATGCACAGGTGGAGAGAGAAAATCTCAAAGAACACCCAACACACACGGTCCTAAGAACATCACCCACACACACGCAACTCAGACTGGCACCAAACATAAAATCACACATTAAAATCTAGCTATGTACAACAGCCACTGAACTTTAGGACTGTCCCAAAAATACACTTTTGTACTATTACCCTACATATTTTGTTACACTTTATACTGGATTATGGCTATAACTCATGAAACCCTGCATTGATTGTAACCTTACAGAAAAGATGTAACCAATTTTTCTTTCATTTCTTGTTTGAATATGCCTCTAATAAATTAAGTTGGTATATTACTCACAGTAACTAAATGAAACCTACTAATATCAATTATGAAATAAAATAGAACATATGTATTACTGAAAACACTGATTCTAAGCTTTTGCAAATATAGTAAAACATGATGAAATAGAGAGCAACCATAACTACACACTAATAAAATAAATTTCTGATATCTACTTTTGACACCCAGAAAGAGAGAAAAATTTGGAAATACTTTTCTTTTGTCTTAATTTACAAAAAAGATAATGCAATGGAAAATATCTAAAACACAGAACTACTAGTCTATGTATTAGTATTAAGTCTATATTTAATCACTTAATAGTATACTAGAAACAGATAGTAATTTTTGACTACAGAGAAAAAGGAAGTCCCAGGCATCAGAGACCATGGCTTTTGAACAGGTAATAATGGTAATTGAAAACTGACAAGAAATTACTGAGATGAAACTGATGAAATTTTCAAATGTTTGGGCCAATGTGGGTTGGAGACAAAACTACATTGAAAATTTTACATCACTGTAAACAAGAAAATAGTTCATGACAGGTAATGGGAAGAGTTAAGTAATGTGATATCTACTTTGAGATACTTTGTACAAAATGAATAAGTATCCTACAAATACTGTATCAACATCAGGTAGATATAGTCCATAGCACTACACAAATATCATACTGAAAAATACATTTTAAGAATTCCTATCCGTCTCAACTGCCAGAAATGCATAGAGTAATCATGAGGAAATGGATATGACAGCATATTTGCATTGCAAATAGTTTTTTCTAATTTGTATATCGTTTCCTTAGGGCATGCAGTTGCAACTGACCATTTATTTTGGCATTCTAATCTACTACTACCAGCTTAACTCTTTTGTGCATCTGTAGAGTGAATCTACTCCAAACTATGCTGTTTCCAGGTGATGTGATATTTTTCAACCTCATTTGTGATTACTATGAAAAGAAACTATAGAACTGAATAAGATCTATAAAGGGGTCAAAGGTCATATAGTGCCTCCAAAGTTGGAAAATGTATTCTGGAAACAACAATAATGTTGGGCATTCAACATCATCACAAGGCAAACCTGCCCTTTTCCTTTGAATGTGCCTGGGCACTACGAGTAGGTGTGTATGCCTCTGACAGGAAAGATGGGAACTAAGGAAATGTTATAGGTTTATTATGCTGTGATGTTATCTCTGTTTAGCATTCAAACCAATGGATCACCACTTGGTTTCATTATAAATAAATTGACCCAAATCTACACATTAATTGTTCTACCACAGTGGAATCCTTGGCATAGTGCAAACAGAAGATCTGCAAGTTATACACTTGCCTACCTGCTATGCAATACTAATTGGCTCAAGCAAAGGATCAATGCAAGAACCAGAAGTTGATATGCACTCCATATGAATTTTGCCTCATTCATTAAGTAAAATTTATCATTTATGGCTGATGCATTGTTCCAAATATTCAAAAATAACTTGCTACTACTGCAATTTTCTATATTAAATGTACTTTTAAGCTTCCCAAATAATAACCAAATTACTATTTTCTACCTATTGCTACTACCACCTGAAGCTACATAAACCAATATGTTACTCACTACTGAAGTGTGAAAAATGAGAAATGTGGTGTGATTTACTTTGTACCTTACCTTGTAAAGAACAGCTTTGAATTTTTTGTTTGTTTGCATGTTTAATTGTCAATCACATTTTAGGCCAATTAAAAATAAACAGGCCACTAACAAATAACATGTGAAAAAATTTAACGAAAGTATAAATAATACATAATAATATATATTAGAAACTATAATATAAAGATTCGTATCTAAATTGTATTGCACAATACAACTGCATGCCCTCAGAAAAAAATAGAAATATGTCTTCAAGAGATGTGCACTGTTATGATCAATAACATACGCACGCTCATTATACCTTCTACAAAAAAGAATTTCACTACAATTACACTAAATTCTAGGACTCTTTGGGGCACATTCACAAAATCTCTTGTACAATACTTAAAAAATCTTTTAGACAATCAAAAAAATTTTCTTTTCACTGACACCAGCCTAGAAAAAAAATGTGAACATAAAAAAATTTATTATAACTTTTTGAACAGCCACTACAATTTGCCACTACTACATTCTATAAAATAAACTAATGTGATTTATTTTTGAAATCAAATGTGATAAAACATAATTAAAACAAACACAATTAATCTTAACTAAAAAGTAAATAATGGAAATTAGATGTACCTAGGAAATAAAAAGAAACTTAAAATTGAAGTGGAAAAGTGAAAGCCAGGAGAAAGCTATAGTATATAAAGCAAGTTCATATTTCTTATGTTAAAAGTAATAAAGTGCTTTAAATACTTTTTTAGAAAATGCTATTTGCATGTTGTGTTTCTCTATTTTGGAACATGTCATCATTAAGGATCAATTGACAGAAGCCCATGTATGTAATTACATAACTAACCATATTTGTTCCAAAAAAAATTTTCTCAAATTCTTCGAAATTTCCACACTGTTACAAAAGAAATTGTCTTCTTAAAATTTCAGTATCCTGAATCAAACATAATAAGGGAAATTCAGGGCATATTTCACCACAAAAAAAAATGCATCTATTATTTACAGGAAGAACAGCGATGCAATTTACTTTCAAAGTTATGCTTATAGACAGCACATGGAAGGGAAAAGCATCATGCAGCACACTGCAACTATTCAGAAACCACAGGTTGACTGAAACTTGCAGCAATGACTTGTTTTAGACATGCACCTTTTGCCTGGTCAAACACATAATCTGGATTCGCGAGCACACAGAGAAAGCATGTCCCAAAATATTTGTTGAAACAATCACATAAATAGCACATCCTAAATCAAAAATACAATGTTATTTAAAGATAATATTCTCTGATAATGGAATGCCATGTTTTTGTAGCTATAGACCAAAAACAAAAACACAAAAAAACAAAAACAAAAGAGGAGGAAGTTTGAAACAAGTATTACACACACACGCACACACACACACACACAATAGAGCATACTGTCTAATTTCTCTTTCGATCAAATAACCTCGGTTCCTAATGTCTTTGGATGATTTACAAAACAGAGTATTTACTATTTATATTGAAACATACTTCAGGAAAAGAAAATGAGGAGGTGGTCATTTTAATATCAACATCAATTGATGAAATAATTTCATTAATTACTTTTGAGATTCCTTTTTTATACAGTAACAACCTCTCAAAATTACCAAAAAACATTAAAAAAAAAACCCTTTAAAGGATATGGTTAAAACATGGCCTCCAATATCAGAAGAAATTATCTACAAATAACATACATAAATTATGATTTTGAATAATAGTAATAGTAATAATAATAATAATAATAATAATAATAATGATGATAATAATGATAATAATAATATAATAATAATAAGAAAGATGAGAATAATGTATAAAGTTCATGATAACAACAAGAAATAAATAGATACTAAGTTTACTTACTCCTGGCTTCCCAAAAGTAGATATATAAAAACTTGCTGTTTGAAAGAGGAAAAGTCAAACTGTTCTTGATCAAACACACAAACAGAACACTGAAGAAATCAAAGCAACAAACTTGTCACAAAAGAATGGAAAAGAAGACTAAAGTAGTAAGTAGAAGTGGATGTGTAAATAACTGTTTAGTAGAAGAGGAGACACAGTGAGTGGGCAGAGTTGAAGGGAAACCGAAGATAAATTTAGTAGAGAAGAGAAACCACAGAGACAGGGACTGAAAGAGGATCCCTGTGGGATTAGACACAGCAGTAGCAACAGTAGTATGAGTGCTGAGTACGGGAGCTTCTCTCCATGGGAGGTGTTCTCTGTTAGTTAAGGGAAAAGTGAGAGGAGTTGTGAACATGAGATACCCATTGACATTGATGTAAATTTCTCCTCAAACTTTATTTTCAGAACAAAATATTAAAAGTAAGTTGTAGTATAACACAGAAGTTTCATTTTAGAATTTTCTGTGTTTTCCACATACACACACACACACACTACCTTCTTTACTGGTAGTCTTTTTGAATTTTTATTTTTATTATTTTTTCAACTTTTTTAATTAATTTATTTTTTACTAAGCAGCAGCATGTATATACTATATTCTTCGAGCAATCAATTTTGCATTATATGATGAAAAACCTGTAATGTTCTGGTTGGATAAGACTGATTGGGGAAATATATATTTTAAAGGCATCACATGTCACACGTGAAAATGGATAAAAATGAAATGATAGTTCTTGATGCTTGTACTCACTGCTTAGTGACACACAAACTCAATAAAAACAGTATTTTAAAGAAAATAAATGTATACATTAAAAATGAAAACTTTGAAAAAATGAAATGTATACATTTGAAAATTTTCAGTAGTGACAGTAAATTGTACTATTTATAACTGTCCCACAAGCAATATTGTACAGAGCTCTCAAGAACTCGGTTAGTGGCGGTCTCTAGGGGTCTATGACACGACACACGTTATAAAGGTTCGGCAGCGCCTACTCTGCCACACAAAAAGCATCCACCCTACAGACGGTGTCCCTGGCGGCGTCGCTGCCGGCCGTTGGCTTTGACATTCATAGAGCCTGTGTATACAGGTGAGAACTGACACAAGAATGTTTTATTCGTGCATCTTTAATTTTGAAAAAATACTACTGGTGATATTACCGAATTCGTTCAAATAATTTCATTGCCGTTTCTAGAAAAGGTCAGAAAGGAAGATACTCGTAGACACAACAAAACGAAAACAATCAGTTTGATGTCACTTAAAAAAGTATTAGGGAATTCCGTTCTTCAAATTAAACTACTGAAGTTTCGCGCCAAAAAAAAAAGCATCGAGACAGTTAAGTAAGAACGAATACGTTCATTAGTTTAATTCAACGATAGCTTACGAAACGGTCGAATCAAACATTATGCAAGTAACGCGATGTTGCTTTTGATTCTTTGCGGCAGGTAAGGCCGGTGACAGGCCAGTGGGGCGTTTGCCAGCATTGTGTGGCAGACAAGCGCTAGAGTTGGCGCACAGTACACAAGGTAGGGTTAGGTGTCAGGGGTGTCCAACCTGTCTCCGTCCTGCGAGCCTTCCCCATCACTGGAAGCGCTCGACCCCTGCTTGACAAGGATGCGAACCTCGTCGGGCAAAACCTCTTCGCTTCTGTGGACGGTAAACGAAGTTTTGCCTTTGCGCCCGAAACCTAACCTACGTTTGCGACCTGCATCCGGGGTGCCGGTCACGAGTAGAGAGTAGAGTTGTTTGTAGTAGTAGCAGTAGTAAGTAGAGTAGCAGTAGTAGTAGGTAGTAGTTGGTAGTAGTTTTTGTTGCATTTGGAGAGAAAAAGAGAGACCAAAAATTATACAGAAATCAATTCAAATATAATCAACATAGGGTATACATAAACTGAAAATATATCACCATTATTACTGCTACAAAGTAGAGAAGTTATTTTTGATTGTTGCAAAAACTGATGAAGAAAAACACTCAAAACACACAGCAAATTACCACAATGAGATATTTTTAAGAAGTATTCCTTTGCTTTAAAGTAAGTAGGTACTTATTATTATTTAAGGGAGGGAGATCAATAATTTTGCTTTTATGCTATGTGACAAATGTAGAGAAACAAATTGTTCATAAATGACATTTAGGACATGGTACTGACTTTTCTTTAGCAAAGAAGCACTTCCAATGCATTAAAAGAGAAATACAAATTTGGGTTAGTAGCCAATTTTAACTTATTACTAGTTGATCCATACAGAGCAACCAAGAGAGCAGTATAATACAACTAACACAAACAAAGTAACACATACATACACTTGAAACCCATCACCACATCAGCTTCAAGAGACAAGATTCTCTTCAACTAATAGAGAAACAAAACAAACATACCTGTCACACGACAATACCAACAACCAACAAAGAAATGAAAGAACAAACAGGGTACATGTACACTGGCACACACACATCAGCTACTCTGCAATTTTCTTAAAAGGGAGACTGCTTTCTCTCTGGACACAACCTAGCAATTCTTGTACAGTCAAGAAATAGATTTTATAGTTTGTTTCCTGTGGGACACAGCAGAAGTTCTAGTAATGCTCCATATCCTTTTCCTCTAAACAGTTTACATATTTATTTTTGATGTGGTGGTATTGAATTATTTCAGAAAATGAAAACAGATGTAAGACTGAAAATATTCCAAACATTTTTAGAAGTAATTAAAAAATAATCGCAATTCATGCTCATGAAAATGTGCTGAATATTTTACTTGTAACCAGTGACAATTTAAACAATTATGATAATATAATCTTATAAATGATTACTAATATTTTGCGGGAGAAACTGATGATAGTTCAATTGAAGATAAAGGAAAAGATAACAAGTTTCTCCTCATTTATAGCAAAAATTTATGATATAATGCTATTTGCATGCTATTTTAATTAGTAAGCAGCTCATATCAAACACTTATGAAATACAAGTTTTCCTATAATAAAATGTGAGATTTCATTTCATGTTATTTTCATTTTTATGTGTTCTTATATTAAAAGAAACAAGTTTCTTTGTTTTAAATCTCTTTGGATTTCGAATGGAAGCCTAAATAAACACACAATAATTGTAAACTACAGAATTGTTAATTTAAATGTTCAGTACGTAATTATAGTTTGGAGACCATGCATTCTCTTAAAATTCCTGTTGTGGAAGTTGCAAGGTTCAAATAAGTTAAAAATAGACCTTCATATAATTTGTATGAATGTGAAATGTTAAATATAGTAGTATTTAAAATAAATAAATATCGTATGTAATATTAAATTCCTGATTGTATTGATTTCAAGTCCCATACATTTTGGAACAAATTACTATTTAATCCCAAAAAATTTGCTGCATTTTTGCATAGTTTGTGAAAGGCAAAGTTTAGAAGCTCCAAGTCAAAGGATTCATAGGAATCAGATGGGATATTTAAAATGCTGAATAATTTACTTCATTTTAAGAATACATTTTTAGAAAAGAAATTTAAGTTGTTAAAAATACAGACATATAACATTAATAGTAAAAGGGGAGTTAAAGATTTTTCTCTGCTCTACTGCAGCATCACCAGCTTTGACATTTATTTTAACTTCAGTCTCTTGATCTGCCTTGTACTGTTTCAGTCAGCAAGTACATTTTACTTGGAAAAAGGTCATACAATTTTTCCTTTGAATAAGTTGTATGTATCCAGGCACTTATTAAAACCTCAATCTTTCGACCTCACAGATCCTGAGCAAACTTCAGGAAGCCCGAAAAACCGGAATTTTTCTAACTTTTTTCGCTTTTTATCTGCAACTATTTAACTTAGGACAAAAATTAGGATAGAGGATACAATTTCCTACAATTTTTTAATAAAACAATTCTTTAGATCCAATTACCTAACGAGCTATAGATATTCAAAAAAAAAAAAAAAAAAACACGCTATTTTTCATTTCTCCCAAATATATGCAACGATACACATGATTGTAACACTATTATATGTAGCCTTACTATTAATTACCTCACTGTCGTTACACTGCTTTAGAATGTACACACGGCCAAAACGCACGCACGCGCGCGCGCGCGCACACTCACACAGACATACACACGCGCGCGCGCGTGCGCGCACACACACACACAGCAAACGTGTGTGTGTGTGTGTGAGGATGTATTTATGGTGATCGTGTTTCAGTTTAACTTTTTAATGTGGGAACAATTTATTTCAACGAAACTTCGTTTACATTATTTCTATTATAAAAAAAATGTTTCGGTAAGTCACCCCTAGAGGTGGGGGAGAGAAGGATGCCTCCAAGATAATGAAAATAACAATATTATCAATGATCGGTTCCGTTGGACCAGAGGACCCTGTCCATTCCATGTAAAAATAGTCCACACTCTTTTTATATACATATAAAATATAAAAATAATCCACACACAAGCTGGTGCGACCAGCAGCTTGCGGAGTGCCTTCTTGACAACTTGTGTCGATGGCTTCGTGGGGTCTGCGTCATACTCGGCCCCCTTTCATAAGCTCTTACCAACTGAAATCGGGACTCATCTGAACAAGCTACGATTTTTCAGTCGTCCAGGGTCCAATTGATGTAGTCACAAGACCAGGAGTGGCACTGCAGACGATATCGTGCTGCGATAAAGGCACTCGAGTCGGTTATCTGCTGCTATAGCCCATTAAAGCCAAATTTAATCACAGTCCTAACGGATACATTCGTCATACGTCCCATATTTCTAGGGTAATGTCACGCAGTGTTGCTTGTCTGTTAGCTCAGATAACTCTACGCAACGCTGCTGGTCTCAGTCATGGCCGTCGGACACCGCGTTGTCCGTGGTGAGAGGTTAGGTTTGAAATGAGGTATTTTCGGCATACTCTTGATACTGTGGGTCTCGGAATACTGAACACCCCAACAATTTCCAAAATGGAATGTCTCATGCGTCTAGCTCCAACTATCCTTCCGCGTCCAAAGTGAGTACAAATCACTTGCTCATGAATCACTTGAGAACAAATGGAATCTCTACCAATGAACTGCTCTTTTACACTTTTTGTAAGCCACCTGTATATTTGCATATTGCTATCCCACGACTTCTATCACCTGAGTATATACGAGACAATGTTTACTCCGGCGGTGAAAAAAAATAATAGAATTACATAATTATATTTTTTGTTAGATGTCTATAATATCATAAGTATATGTATTTTTGTACACATTTTGGAGAAATGAAAAAAGTATTTTTTGAGAAGCTGAATATCTCTTGGTAATTGGTTTCAAAATAATTGTTTTATACAAAAGCTGTAGAAAATATTTCATTCTTGAAATTCGATCTGAATAATTTTACAGGACTTACGGTTAAAGAGTTATGGAGAAGAAAAAAAGTCACGCTCAAGTCTAATCATAAGCCAAACCTAAGTATTTTAATAATAATAATTTTGTTTTTGCCATTGATTCTTTACTTTATTTGTTTTACTTTATTTCTACGCGGCCATCACAACTGTCTTTTGGAGCTTTTAATACACATATTACATTGCAAAGCGTTTCAATTTTCTTCGAACGCAATGAACATCGCAGGAATGTGAGAAAGTCGCTGCATGTGGTCAAATACGATTTGCTGTACTCTTTCATAAGCGCTTAATTAGAAATAATTTCAAGGGAGGTTATTTACAAAACAACTTGTTTTCCTTTAGGCTTTTAATGGTATCGGATTCATCGTTGTGAGTTTAGGCTCCGCAGTAACGTGATCTAGCGTCTAGTGTGCGCCCTTCTTTGCCCCTGCCAATTAGTTCGTAGTAAAACTTAAAATTTAAAATTTTTGTCTCAATATGTTTGGCGTAAGACGGGAGTAATTTTCTACGCAGCAGCACCACACTTAACAAGGGTTTGATATCGTCGGTTTCTTTTAACTGATACAAAGCCGTCAGTTTTTCTTAACGTATTGTGCAGATGTCTCACAATAAATTCCACAATCTTTTAGGACATGTAGAGGGATCGAACACGATCGTTTTTGGCGATGAACATGTGGGAAATTTAATATCAAACATTACACACGTTTTATTTGGCCCCTGATAAATAGGCAAATCATGGTGCACTAATGTTTGGCAGTCAAAGGGATTTCTATTTCCTCCCGAACACCAGTGAATGATGAGTTTACTACGAATGAGTGGTAAAAGTAACTTATGCAACTTCGATACATGAAATTTCCCACCACTTATTCATTGGCAAAAATATATCTTTTTGGACTCCTGCACATGTCTTGGAATATGGTGTGATTTACGAATACTGATACATCTAGTCTGCAAAGTGTCCCAAAACAAATGTTACAAACTTCCAAGAGTATATGAAGTGGTGACGGCGTTTTGCTAATGAACAAGGAATTAGAAATTTCTCATAAGTTACACAAATGAAATTTCTCCCAGAATTGTAGGCGATGTCCCACTCACCAGTGTTCGCCAGGTCACGGTTTGTTGCACGTGTACCTGCCGAATTTCTGCTTATGTCAGACTCCAGATCCCCGTCCCCGTACGGGAGAGAGGAGTCAAAATATCTAACACAAACCAAAGTAAAGCCACTCAGAACACTAGAAATGCAGTGTGAGATTGCGTAGTATTCAGAGGTCAATTTGCAACCGGGTCGTATGCGTAACTTCGTCATAAGAGATTCACAACTATTTGTTTATTGGCTGGTGATCGACTTCGACGCCTCCACATGCTCTAGAAGATTGTGAAATTTATTCTGAGACATTTGAGTATATAAGTTGTTGTTAAACTATTCATAAAAGGGCGACATTTAAAAACGTAGTGGTTCTAAAACAGCTTTCCCGCCCGTACTTTGATGCAAAATTACGCGAAAAGTACTGAAATTGTTGAAAAACCGTGCATGACCTTATTTCAAAATCTATCTTTAAGGGTCATATTTCATTAAGGGAAAAATCTCTATCTTCATAATTGTAGTTGTTGGAAGACTCCGAAAAAAATTGAACTGTTGCACTTTTCGAAGAATCAAGGTTTTCACCGAAAACGAGACTTGTACCATTCTCTAAAACGTCCTTCACACTATTCAACAAGATTTAATAAAAAACGATGGAGCCTTTTTTTGTTTTGAAAATTTGGAAAAGGTTCTAGCGGCTTCATGTAAAGTACCCCCAAAAATTAAAATATCAGTTTCAAATTCAAGGGTCTGCGACATCAGCCAGATAAATTGGGGAATATCAATTTTGGAAAAAACCGGCTGAATGGTTTAACCGCTAGCTTTGTTTACAGACGGACAGTTTTGCCATCATTCGATTTTTCGGTATAAAAGACCCACAAAACTCTGGCTATATCCGGTGTTAGTGGATTTTTTTTTTCAAAATTTAACAACTGGATTTGCACATTTTTTCGTTACTAGGTCCCTGTAATAAAAGTTTTTCTGCCAAAAATTCTCTACTCCGTAGCGAGAAAGTAATAAAAGAGCCGAGGCAAGTGCCTGGTTTTGCTCCTCACCGGGCAACGTCCACAACAGGCTGAGCGAGCGATCGCAGCGCTGGGGAGGGGTGCGGGGGTGGGGGTGGCGTTACCTGTGGCGGAGAGCTGCGAGGTGGAGCTGCTCTTCTTGCCCATGCCGGCGAACTGCCCCGCGGAGCCACCCTTGCCCCGCTCGCCCCGGTCGCCGCGCTCGCCGCGCTCGCCCCGGTCGCCGCTCAGCTTGGAGCGCCGCCCGCCGCCATCCAGCCCGTGCATGTGCGTCACCGCCGTGTCGCTCAGGCTGCCGTCTGACACACACACACACACACACGCCATTGCTCTTGCGGCTGCCTTCCCTGAAGCAGCCTCATTACTACAAACTATATTACCTCCGATGTTTTAGTAGATAAGACGATACATGAATCTCAAAAAAGTCCCCCAAAATACGGAATTGCCTTATAGGTTAGAGGGAGACCGGGGGAGATGGCGCAGAGCACCAACTGATGTCATTGCCGTCCCACTAACCGAGAGGTCCTAGGTTCGAATCCCGACGAAGGCAGAATTTTCGACACTAGCTTGTCAGCGAGGTCGAAATCAATCGCGCGGCGGAGAATTTTAGCGTCCGGATGCTCTGATTGGTAGTTTTCTGTGGTTTCTTCCATAAACACCTGGCCAGCAAATGGGCCATGGATCATGCGCGACCTTTCCTTCCTCTTCCTTGTCCCATCACTTTCACATTTTTACACTAACATGCACTGCACTACCACACATGTCGGACGGAAGACCGACCGGCTTAGAGCTTGTGTTTCCCCCCTGGGTGGGAGATGCCGGGTCTCTTTCTAATAATAAAAGGTCTGATGTAAGAAACGAACAAAGAAATATGAAATAATACGCACATTCTAACTTACGTAGCATCCAACTGCCTGCCTCAAAACACACTCTAAAATTACTATCAAGAAGAGCAGGATTTTCAGAGCGAGTGACTAGCTTGACGCCCAATTACTAAAAAATACATATTCCAAAAATTCAACATGACCTTATTTGACGATCTGTTTATGATGAACACAATTCATTAATAAAAATGCATCTTCATAACTGTAGTTGTAGGAAGACGCCGTAAAAATTTGGAATTTTTTCAATTTTTGAAAAATCAGGGTTTTTAACCCACGTGAGACCGGCGCCATTCTCTTGAACGTCGTTTAGACTATCCAACAACAAAATTTAATCAAAATACATGGCGCCATTTTTTGAAAACTTTGAAAATGTTTCAGGGGATTCATGTAAAGTACCATAAAAAATTAAAAATATCGGTCTTAAATTCAAGGGGCCGCAACATCAGTCACATCGATATCAATTTTGGAGCAATTCGGCTGAACGATTTAGCGCAAGTGTTGTATACGGTCGGACAGGTAGACGTTTTGCCGTCAAAAGATTTTTTTGGCCGAAAATTCGCTGTTTTTTTTGCGCAGAATTACATAACTTTCTCTTTTTTCAAAGTTCCGTTTGAAACGCGAGAAAGTAAAAATTAAAATTCTCACGTTCATCACCTGTCGCAAATAGTTTCTGAAGTACATCCTCACTTTCATTGTTGAGAAGCTTGTCACACTGAGACCATTCTGTACTTAGCGAATTAATTTATATTCGTCATCAGTATGCAATAACAAATCGTCCTCAGTGCCATCTATAGCATTAGAAACCCCATGCTTTTAGATAATTGTTTCCACTGTAATTTTTTCCAATGATTTGATCACGAAATTACACAGCACATGAAGTGAAGCAGTCAGCATCGCTCCACCTTTTGAAATCGACTTTCACCACTCACCATCCATTTATTCCATTGATAGTTCGGGGGTCGTCTAATAGAACATATAAATGCTAAACCTACAAAAACTTCACGAAAATGTATACCTCGTCTTATCTGAAGGTCATTTTATATACGATACTTTCCAATGCGCCCAGTAACTGAAAGAACTGGCCTCCCGCCATACAGCCTCCCGCCAAGAGAGAGAGGAGTCAATTATTTTGTTACATACCCAGGAACTGGGGGAAAATACGAAATGAATGAACAGTTTCGATTTTCACTAAAAAATGTAAATAATTCCTTGTGTCATACCGCCTTTTCTCATACTTCGTCACTAAATGCGTCACAGCTGTTTTCATACTCACAGGTGACGCCATGTGACAGCAAGGCTCTACGGAAGATACCTCGTCATTATTTACTTTTATGTGCTGCATAGTGCAACTGCAACTGTTCTTGGTAACAAAATGCAAATAACTGTATACGAATTTGTTTTATTTATTCATGAAATGTGCGTGTTACCTATTGGAAAGCCATTTTGTGTGGTTTTGTACCGCAGCTTTTCTGATTCTGCAGGTAAGTAATATTAGGAAAGTTGCCGAATTCACAGAGTCAAAAATGTTGCTTCATTAGCATACGACAATTGTCAATCGTTCATTTTCAGTTCTCTATGTTGCTTGTGAGAAATAAAAAACTGCATTCAAAGAGTTTTTCTTTTATTGCTATCTACTTATATCGACACCAGTTTGTAAAATCTGATATCACAATGTTTCTTTTTTGAAAAGCACATTCGTGTCACCCGAGAGAACTATTCCCACGTCTCCAATGAAGTTGGCATATCGTTTACGTACAGTAGAACAATTGGTACTAGAGCATCATCAAGTTTCTCGCATTATTTTAACTTTTGAAATTTTTGAAAATTCAGAGACCAACGAAAATGAGATCAGCACTATTCTTTTGCGAGTTCTTTGCTTTATCCGTAGAAAAATGAAGGAAACACTCTGGTGCGGATTATGAGAAAGTTTCTTTTTAATTCGCATTAACTTCAAACATAAATTGTGCGAAAATTCTAATTTTTTCAAAACATTGTGCATGACCCTTTTTTTAAAGATTTGGTAACACTGGCCAATAAAAGTTTTGCCACAGATACACTTTTGCATGATTCTATATTATTTTTACACGAGAAATCCAGCCCTGCTATCAACATTTTGCTATTACGTATAGTTTTGGAGATGGTATAATATTATCATTTTAGTGATAAATTGATTACTTTTGCTATTGTCTTTAAGAAATTATTATTGTTTATTTAAATATAGAATAAATAATACGTGGAGGTAGCATACATATCTATGTGAAATTTGTGTTTCATCAAAAGATGGGGGTGGGTCATAGTCCTGTCAGTAAGGGACGTAGACATGACACGACTTGCAAATTTCCAGGCGGATCACTGCATTTCGCCAGTTCTTGGTAGAATCCTGAAGTGTTTGCACTGATATAATTCTTTATTTGTTGTTTTGATTTGTGCGTGAGAACTTACATATGCTACGAAAGTGCCTAAACCATCTAGTTTTTGTTATGTGTGTGGAGAGTTGGCATTTAAAAAGAAAAGAAGGAGCTTCTCTCCTTTTGTTCGAAAGTGTTATCATCTTTATTTTGGTTGCAAAGGAGTGGATCAAGACAAGATTCACGTCTCACGGGCCCGTCTCGTCTGTGTGTGTGTGTGTGTGTGTTTTGTGGTACTTGTGTAAGGCATTTAACGGGGTGGGCAAAGGGTTCTCGACACATGCCATGCATTTCATGTTTCCATGGTGTGGAGCCTGTTATTTGTGTTGAACTATTACAACAAAAAATATCAAGAAAATCAAAGCTTTCTTTAAAATACTCCAATATACCTTCAGTGATTCGACGTGTTCGCCACAGTGAAGATCTCCCGAATCCACCTTACCCAGAATCGAAATGACATGAAAGTCATCGAAAGTTCCAGTTCAGAAGAGAAACGCAGTGCAGATTGCGATGATGAGCTCTATTCAAGTTCGGAGGTTTCTAAGACGCCTAACGTATTAACTCAAGGAAACCTGAATGATTTAGAGAGTGATCTAAATTTACCGAAAAAACAGGCAGAACGTCTGGGTTCATGACAAAAAAGGATGGAACCTTCTTTATCTCGACACTAGGATATGCAATTTGCGAAATCGAAATAGCATAAGAGGCACTTAAGGAATTTTTTAGTAGATGACTGTAATATTGTTTCATCAGAGCCAGACACTATGGGACATGCTCACAATCCAGAGGAATGACGTTTGTTTATTGATTCATCAAAAGGTAGCTTAAAAGATGATTTCCTTCACAATAGGAATAAATTGCCATCAGTTCCACTTGCCCATGTTATTAATATAAAAGAAACCTGTGGAAATATTCAAGATAATTCTAGGGAATATTCTGTATGAAAAAATACTTGGAACAAATGTGGAGATATTGTGGTGCTTTTAGGTGGATACACAAATTTTTGCTGTTTTTTGGGTGAGTGCGATAGTAGGTATCATAAAAGCCACTTGAAAAATAATTTTTGGACTTCACGTAAATCTTTCACACTTCACGTAAATCTTTCACACCAGGTGTAAAAAGTATTATGAATGTTCTCTTAGTTGATAGAAAAAATATATTTCTCTCGTCTCTTCATATAAAATTAGTTTTGAGGAAGAGTTTTGCTAATGCCTCGACCGGAGATGGAAGGGGTCTTTTGTATTTGAAAAAGAAGTCTCCTGAAATTTGTGACTCGAAAATTAAAGAGGGAATATTCGTGAGAGGTCTTTAAAAAATATGCCTTTGTGTAAATTTTGATAAAAAACAACAACCGAAATTAACTTTACATTATATTAAAGAGTGCGATTAGCACTATCCATTTGAAACGTTTGAAGACAAAATTTGGAACCGTTTTTGAGAAAATGCCTTTGAGTGTTTCTGAAAATGTGGAATTTCCTGCTAGTTTTTACAGAAAACGGTTGAGTTTTCGAAGTATATCGGAAATTATTTTAAGCACATATACTCATAAACACAGTGATGTGAATAAATTACCGCTAATATAAATATTAACGACACAAGGGACTGTTAATTAATGTTATTATTTTTGAAAAAACAATTGAATAGAGCAATGTCATATTGTAGAGTACATTTAGCACTATCCCTACCAAAAGTTTTAAGAAAAAATTTGGAGCCATTTTTGATAAAATATTGTTTTCTTTTTTAAATTTGCACATATTGCACGCAATTTTGCTCGAGGACAACTAAAATGTTGAACAAAATTTACATGACTTTAATAAAAGAACTGTGGAGAACAAATTGTATTGGAAGGAAACATTACTATCTTTAATTTTGTAGTTGTAGGACGATACCGAACAAAGTTCATACTTTTGAAATATTCGAAAATTCAGAGTTATCCGTGAAAATCGGACCTATGCCACATTTATAAATGTATATGTTCGTTATTCTTACACGAAATTTAAAGAAAAT